TTTCGTTTTAAATTGTCTTCCTTTTTTTTTTTTTTAATGATAGAATGTGTGCACATACACATGAAAGTGAGAGAGAGAGACAACTTCCACAAGGTCTGGTCACACCACAATCCCCTTCCTTCAGTTTGTTGGATCTTGGGCACTCACATGCCTGCCCAGCATGTTTCAGGCTGACAGGGCCAGAGATTCCAACCATGGTCACTGTATGAGATCCGGCTTCTCTTGAGTAGTGCGTTACTGTTGTGCCCTGGAGCAGGCTGTTTCCAAACATTCTGTGCCAGTGCCCAGACTATTTCTAAAGTGGCCAACCATTAGACCATCCTACCAATAAAGTGTGAGAATTCCATTTTTTTTACATCCTTGCTCTGTTATTTTCCATCTGTATATGTTTGTTTTTGTTCTTTTGGATATATATATATATATATATACATATATATATATACTATATATTTATATATCTATATATCTATAGATATATATTACTCTGAGCCCCTCACATTTCCCTCACAGATGGAATTCCTTAATTATTCTTGAGGACTCTCTAGCATTTACCGTCCTAGCTGAGAAAGCCAGTGTTGATGCATCTTCTAGGAGCAGGGCTTCTAATCATGTAAGGGTCGTGTGCTCCTAAATATCTTCTCCACTTCCAGAAACTGTTATAGTACTTTTATTCATTTAAATCAGAGACTTCTGAAGGACCACAGGAACCATTCAGGCCAAGGCACAGAAGGAACCTAGATAAGAATCCTGCGTAAAGATTAAGAGGTAGAATTGTTAAGAACACAAGGCTACAGAGACTGAAAAAGCTCTGTCACATGTTTTCTGTGTGACTTTGGGTTAGATACTTAACTTCTTTAAGGTTTCAGTTTCTTCATGTGTAAAATGGGGATAATAATATCTACAACCACAGAACTAAGATACCATATGTAGTATATTTAAAATATGTAGTAGGGGAGCGCAAGGGAGACAGTGAAATACCTTTTTTCAAACTGGTCTCTTCCAAGCAGATAGGACCAAGGGTCAGGAAGTGGGACTAGGAGCCCACCTAAGCCAGGATCTACACAGGTCTGTTTACCCTGAGAGGCTTCTGTAGTTGACCGGTATGTGTCCTTTGTGACTGATTTACTTCACTTAGTATAATATCCTAAGCCTCATCTGCATAGTAGCATGTATCAGATATCTTTCTGTTTTTATAAAATTGAATAATATCCCATGTACGTGTATCACACTTTGTTTCTCCATTCATCTGTTGATTGACTCTTGGGTTTCGTTGACCTTTGGCTATTAGGCATAATGCTGTTGTGAGCAAGGTGTACAAAGACCTGTTGAAGGTCATGCTTCCATTTCTTTGGGTATATTCTCAGAAGAGGAATTGCCAGAGGAAAGAGTCCTGGTTTGGCCATGAGCCAACTGTTTAGGGGCAGCCTCTTACATGATGCATGGAAGAACTGGCATTTAGACAAAGATGCATCAGGCATGGTCCCTGCCTTCCAGGAGAGCTGCCAGGTGGGTTAGGTTCAAGGCTGGAGGTTAACAGTGTAGTTCAGGTTACTGAAGAGGAAGGGCATGTTATGGATCTGCTGAGGGCCTTCCTCTGGCTGTGGTCATGCGGGAAGGCTACCTGCAGGTAATGGAACACATTTGGGACCTTCAAGATGGAGTAAATCTGAAGGTGGAGTGGGTAATATTCCTGGGAGGAGGATAAGCCAGAGGAAAAGGAGGAGAAAGTAAACCTGAGGGAAAATATAACCTCATTATTAGGTACCGAAAAATCAGTAAGAAGATTTTGGACATTACCTTTTTATTCAAGTGAGAGAGCTTTTAAGCAGTGAGGTCATCAAACTGCTCTTTTGAAGGGTTCTAGGAGCGGAGTATGGATCATTTAAGAGCCCAGAGAGCCGGCTTTCATCAGGAAGGATGATTTCATAACAAGAGCTTTTGTAATAACAATGTTATTAATCACACTCTCTAGATCAGGCCTTGTGCTGAGAATTCTATTTCTTCCATAAGCAAGTGAGAGAGAGACAGAGTAGATGTGAGCACACCCCCAACTCATTTAATTAGCTCATGATCTTCACAATGTGTAAGAGAGATATTATTACCTCTTCTTTGCAGATCAAGAGAAATGTGAATATCAAAGAGGCTAGATAGATGACCCAAGTTTACATGGCTGGGAGTAACAGTCCTGTGGGTGATGTAGAGTCTCTAAACAAACTAGTCAGGCTCCTCTGAGTTCTCTTGTGAGTAGGCCTCTCCCCTGGGGCTCATCTTTGGGCCGCTTAGTCCAATTTTAACTTGAATACTCTGGGTTAGTTTAGCAAATATCCCCCACCCTTGATCTGATCAAATCTTCATCCCTTACCCTCCATATGTCATTATGAATCCTGTCAAGTCAATTAGAGTCCCCCTTTACCCTTTGTTTACTCTTAGTAGTTTTCTATCCTTTGACCCCTGACTGGCTCCTTGACTACCAGTCTGCACTTGGACTTGTCGATTCAGAGTTGAGCCCAATCTCTCTACCCTTCTGCAAAACCCCATTGTAACAGCCCCTTTGAATAAAGTCTGCCTTACTATCTTTAACAAGTGTCACAGATATTTTTTCTTAATAGGCATTTAAACCCAGTTCTGTCTGACTTCATACCCATCTTTATGATCTTCAACATTTTTGACAGATTTCTAAAGAATTTAAACTTGAGCCTCCAATAAGAACACAAAACCACTTAAATAAATTTTATACATCAAAGGGTGCAAAGCATGATGGATAAAAGAAGTGGCTATGGTATTAAACTTCTGGGCTTTGCCATCTACGAGCTTTGCAGATCACTTACCTAGCTGCCCCTCTGTTCTTTCATCTGTAAAATGGGAGGTAATATCTTTATGTATTTCACAGAAATGACATAAAATTAAGTGCATTGATATATTTGAGCAATTTATTTTTTATTTTATTTTATTTTTTTTAGAGTGAGAATTTTGCTATAGGGTGCATGCGCTCACCAGAGAGGCAGAGAGGAAGAAAGCAAGAAATCACTCCCCTCAGGGGAATGGCCATTCTGCAATCCTTTCTCTTCTATTCTCTTCCTGGGATATTGGGCACATGCACATGCGCTCAGTTTGAGTTTCAAGCCAATGGATCCAGGACTCGAATCTTAGTCAGCCTTGCGGGAGTTCAGCGCCTTAACTACTATGCCACCCATGTGAGCACTTTGAACAATGTCTGTGCACCATGCAAGGTTGATCCAGCATCATATCATATTCATTATAAAGAATACCCACATATACATACACCTAACCGGAAAAAAGATTATGTAGGAGTTAGATGTTTCACAGTGGTATAGTGAGAAGGTCTGCAAGCCTGACCCACATGGAAAGGTTCTAGGTTTGCATCCAGAGATGTTCCTGAGTGCACTGGGCTCATACATGGCCATGATCCAGGATTGGCTGATGGTTGTGGATAGATTGCAGTGCTAGACCCAACTGGGGGTGTGCTCGCTGCACATTCTGTTTCACTTGTTCATGAAATAAATAAATCTTTTAAAAAGTTAAAGAAAAAGATGAGATAGAAAGGCAGATAAAATTGAAGTGCATCAATTTCTGCCTGTCTTCCTGGATTATTTGCACAGTCTCCAGGTTCATTCTCTCCTTCATCACCACTAAGCTTATGTCTATCCATGGTGACATTCTGATGGACATTGAAGTCTCCTCGTGTGGGCCCATTAGGATACCATTGCAAACTTGGAGTATTGGTCAGGAACCAAGAGATGTAAGGAGGAAACACATTTCCAGTGAGGGCAAGTCTCACTTCCAATCAAAGGATGAAGCCCAGAAGACCTGCACGGAAAGGAGGTGGCCAGCTTTCTAAGCCCACCTTGCTGGACTCTCCCTGACCCATCTCTTTTCAAGTCTATCTTGCTTAGTCATGTTCTATTCTATTACCTAGTTGTGTTTTCTTTGCGGCTCCTCTTATTGTCTGAAGTCATCCAATTTCCTTATTTTTTTGCTCATTTGTTATCTGTCTCCCTTGCCATATAGGATGTCATATATTTCATTCATGTTGATATATCTAATGGTTAAACCTGGGCCAGATATGGGGTAGATGCTCCGCAGACATTTATGGGATGAATAAGCAATTGAATGTGTCCCCTGGTGACCCAGGGACTGGAAAACTGAATAATTAAGAGAATAAACTGGAGAGCTTTTCTGACTAACTCCTCCTCTATCTCCTTCCACACACTCCTGTCTCACAGGGGAAGAAACTCAGGATCTGAGAGCTTAGAAGATCTTCCAAAGACACACGTGGCAGGACTGAGGGCTTTTTATTTCATTCCTAGTGGTTATACTTTTTCCTCTTGGGAGAAAATAAGAGAATACAGAAATTTTCTTTGTAGGTTCAATAAATTAAAAGTTGAAAAACCAGACCCCATTGTCTATCCACTCTGAGTCAAAACAAGTTTTGTCAGCTCTATGTAGTTTTGAAATAGTTTTGATAGGAAGGGAGGGAGGGTAGAAAGGAGGGTGAGGGGACAGAAAAAGAAACAAGAAAGGAGAGGAAAGAAATGCTAATGAGGATGGTTCTTCTCTTTCTGGTATTAGGAATTGTCTAGAGGCTCTGTACCCCTTGGCTAAGGGTTACCTTCTTCCAAGGATTCTCCTGGGCCACAATTCCACCTGCTGGGAGACAAGATTTCAGGTCTATTTCTTTTCTTTTTCTTTTTTTTTTTTTTCTTAGAGATATTTTTTGCTATAGGGCACATGTGCTTACCAAAGAGACAGAGAGACAGAAAGCAAGAAATCACTCCCCAGAGGTGATGGCCACACTGCAGTCCTGTTTCCCTCAGTCTCCTCTTGGGATTTTGAGCACACACGTACATGCCTGGTGGGTTTTAAGCCTCCCGATCTAGGACTCAAACCACAGGCAACTATGTGGGAGTCCAGTGATGTAACCGCTATGCCATCTACTGGTCCAGATTTCATGTCTATTTCAAGAGGATGCCATCACACACATACCATTACCTGGCAGAGGAGACACCATGACCACGAAGGTGGTTTTCCCAGGGAGAGGCTTATCCATTGCACTCTGAGTGTGCTGACCCCTGCAACTTCCCCAAATGTGGAGGAAACTGACTGCATAATTTGTGGTAGTGGGAGACTGCATTCGCACTTTACCCTCTCTCTCTAAAAAAAAGATAGAGACAAGATGATTTGCCTCCTGCTCTTTCTGTTGGATTTCTTGATGTTTTCCCCTATCTACTTCTTCTGGTTTCCATTTTCCCTCCTCTTGCTCTATCTGCATTCCAGTTAAGCCTCACTTCCTCAATGTCCTTCCGCATTCTCAACAAAAGATTTATCAGATATTCATTGAGCTGGGCCTGTTATATGTAGTTACTTTCACTTCCTCTTTTATGGAGACTCAAACATCTGTTTCATAGCTTTATTAGCCCCATTGTTTACTTATGGAGACAGAGACCTACCAAAGTTAAGTCATAATTCGCCCTGGTATCCAAGTGGCAGTATTCAAATATAAAGCCAAGTGTGGGAACCAGCAGTTAGCATAATGGCTATGTCGCTGGGCTCCCACGTAGTCGACCGCGGTTCACGTCCCAGACCCGGTGGCTTAAAACTCACGTCGGGCGCGTGTGCGTGTGTGCCCAAGATCCCGAGAGGAGTAATGGAGGAGAGGGGAATGAGGCGTGACTATCCCCCCTGGGGGGTGATTTCTCGCTTTCTGTCTCTCTGTCTCTCTCTGTCTGTCTGGCGAGCGCATGTGCCCTATAGCAAAAACCTCTCAAAAAAAAAAATATATATATATATAAAGCCAAGTGTGGAAGGAGAATGGGAGAGAGGAAGAGTATAGGAAAGGAAATCAGGGAGAAAAAAAAAAAGGCCAGACATCTGTGGGACATAGAAATGATTTGTCACCTGTTGATGAAAACATGTATAGTATTCTCAATTGGTCTGGTCTGAGGCGTATTTCATGTTGGACAAATTCTCTTTACAAGTCAAATAACATATAGCGATCGAATGTTTAAAAAATAATGATAACAATAAAAGGGAATTAAGAAAAACAAAGAGGAAAAAAAAAATGTAAATTCAAATCCCCAAGACAATGCGCTTACGTTTAGGTCACAGCTTACATTCTCTTACCAGGTGAATCGATTAACAATGGTTTTGGCTGCTAAGAACAGCACATACCATTCATAGCAGTTTAGACTAATGGGAAGCTTATTTTTATCACATAACGAAAGATATCAGGTTATCAGGGCCAATGCAGTGGCCTGAAGAAGCCAGGGAGACTAAGGTCATTTTCTCTTCCACTCTGCCCTCCTTAACATGTCAGCATCACTCTCAACACACGTCGACACTGATTTCGAGATACCTCTTCAGCCTCATGGCTACATCCCCAAAAGAAGAAAAAGAGGGAAAAGAAAAAAAGCCAAAGGAACATGCCAATGGAGTCTGTCCATTTTATGAATCTAGTCTAGGAGTCTCACCAAGAGATTTCTGCTGTCTGTTTGCCTGAACGCTGTCACAGGGATGTCCCTTGCTGTACAGTAATGAGAAGGTTAGGTGGAGATGGAGTCAATGACCCAACATCTGCTCCATCTCAAACTCTTGGCTGGAATTCTTTCTAGAGTTCCCTATGTTCATATGACTACCAAATGGTTTTTGGAGTCTCTTGAAAGCATCCAGCAGTTCTTCAAGCATGGAAACAGAGAAAGAGATGAAGGCAACTTTCACAGGTCTCTCTGTTTCTGTTTTACCATCTCTTGCACCCCACACGGTGCAAAGCACAGAGCTAGCCTCAGAGAGTGACCAGCACAAAGTAATTGGACAGAACCGTCTTCCTAGGAAAGACATGGGAGAGAGAGCCTCAGAAATGGGTGATGGAAGAGAGAAGACCCAGCCAGGACATAGTTCATGTTCCCAGTGCCTTAGAGTTCAGCTGAAGGCTGTGCACAGGCTACTGGGACATGCAGGGACCATAGAAAGGGAAAGGGGGCATGAGCCATCTTAGTCTGCTTAACTAAGCAGAGGGGAAGAAAAGGCTTGAGGTGAGCCTGTATCTGTTTTTGTCATCTCATTCCATTTTATCTATAGAGAGGAAATGCTTGCACAAATCATAACGACATTCTTTTTTAAGCCTGATTTCCTTTCAGTGACTTTAACTCTCTTGGTGCTGAAGCCAAGCTCTGTGATGGTTTTGCATGGGGAAGACCAGCATTGTGAGAGGCAAGTGAGGAAATGTGTGAGATGTTGCAAAGTCCCTTTCTCTACAGACACCTCTTCCTGGGATCTTAGCAGAGTCAGACGGGCTGTCATTTGAGCTTTAGTTCTTTCAGTCAAAACTGTATCTAGAATCTTTTTGTTTATTGTTGTGTCCTCCCCCCCAATTTTTTTTAAACTATAAACATTTAAAGAAGAAGAAGAAAAAGCCTATCATCTTACTATCCAAATAATCCTTGTTTATATTTTAAGAAATAAAAGTAATTTGTCTATTGGCTCAACCACTCCACAATATTGTAGCCACATGGGAGGCCTAGGTTTGGAGTCTTGGTCTACTTGAATATACCAGGTACAACCATGCTTCTGACAGACCAGAAGGGTGAGAAGAAGATCACTGTGTGACAAGACCCTGTGAAAGTTGCCTAACTCTTTCTCTATTTCTGTCTCTTTCTCTATCAATAGACAAAGAAATAAACTTTTAAAAAGGAATTTATCTAAATACATAAAACTTTAACATTATAGCAAAGTATAAAATGAAACTGAAAAGTTTTCATTCCCTTGGCTCTGTGCCTCTGCCCAAAGGTAGCCATGGATAACAAAAATATTTTTGCTTTCAGAAAATTTATGTCTATATCAGTGTACATTCCTGTCTGTCTGTTTTTATGAAATTGATATGAAAATAGATGATTCTGGACACCTAATCCTACTTCTTTTCTCTGTCTTTGTGCGCACAACACTACTACATTCTTTTTCATGGCTATATAATAATCCATCATACAAGAACAGCATACTTTATTAATAACAAATCCCTTTTCAGTGGTTTGTTTCTCCTTTTTCCATACTATTACAAAACACTGTCGCAATGAACACCCTTGTACAGATCTCTTGACCAGTATCTACAGGTATATTTATAAAGATTAACTCCTAGCAGACTAATTGCTAAGTATAATAATACGGGATGGAGAGAGGGTCTTCAACAAATTCTTAGAAAATGCAAATTATAAAAGAAAACTGCATAAATCAAATTCGTTTGCATCGATGTGCAAGTCATACTTTAACTCCAATTGCTCTATAACTTTCTGAAGCCCCCTTATGTGTACCTTTAAAGATACATGGATTTCTTCCAAGTTTCCTTTCAGAAATGAATCAGTCCACCACCGCTGGCCCCAGTTCAGCATCTAGTTGGGCATTCCTTTCCATGGCCTTCTCTGAATAGGGTCCATCTTGTTAGTTTCTAGCAATCTGAGTTTAAAAGTAGTCTTTGGTTGCTGTTCAATTTACATTTCTTAAGCATAATAGTGTCCATATTTTCATACTGAGCACTTATTTTCACTTTTTGGTAATTAACTACTGATGTGTTTTGTTTGTTTTTCCCCTTTGGGGTTGTTCATGATTTCTTACTTATTTTATGAGTGTCTCAAAAATGAAAGAAATTAGCCTTTTTCCTGTCACATGGGTTGTAAGTATTTTTCCAACTTTTCACTTTGCCTTTTCTCTCTTAGTTTATGGTTTGTCTCCCTCTTTCCTGTCAAATTATCATAATTCACATATAGTCAAGTATATTGATCTTTTTCCTTTATGCCTTCTAGGTTTGGAATTCTTTTGAAAAGGCCTTTTCTATCCCCAAAGCATAAACTCAGCCATTTATTTTTCTATAACTTTTATAGTCCCTTTTTCACATTTAGGTTTGTTTGTTTCTTTGTTGGCTATAGTGTGCATGCGCTGCCAGAGAGAGAGAGAAACAGAGGGTAAATGCGAAACCATTCCCCAGGAGGGATGGCCACATCACAATCCCTTCTCTTCCAGTCTTCTATCAGGATTTTGGGCATGCGCACACATACAACCAGTGTGATTTTCAAGCTGCCAGATCCAGGACTCAAACTGCATAGCCTGCTATGTGGAATCCAGTATCTTAACCTCCATGCCATCTGCTAGCCTCCACATTTAAGTCTTTCTTTCTTTCTTTCTTTCTTTCTTTCTTTCTTTCTTTCTTTCTTTCAGAGAGAGAGAGGGAGAGAGAGATTTTTGCTATATGTCATTTGTGTTCACCAGAGAGACAGAGAGACATTTTTCTCTTGGGATTTTGGGCATGCACACATGCCCAGCCTGAATTTCAAACTGCCAGATCTGGGACTCGAAGCACAGTCAGCCATGTGTGAGTCTAGTGCCTTAGCCACTATACCACCTGCTGGCTCCACACATTTAAATCTTTTACCCATCTGGAATTGATGTTGATGTAATAAGTGAAGTAGGGATCCAGCTATATTTTTTTTCTTCTAATTAGCCAGTTTATCCAATACTATTTACTGATGAATCAACATTTCTTCACTGTTTTGAATTGTCACCATTTCATATATTAAGTTTCCATATGAATTTGGAAACTTACTCATTGTTTTTTTTTTCCATTGCCAAGCTATTTTAATATTATAGCTAACTATACTAAATTATTTATTTGTCATAATGAACTATACTAAATTGTTTTAGTATAGGAGTGAGCTAGTTTTTCTGTGTTTTTCATTTTCAATAACTTTTCTAATATTTGTCATTAATTTTCCAAACTTTAATAATATTTTTTACTTTTTTTTTTTGAGAGGTTTTTGCTATAGGGCGTGTGCGCTCACCAGACAGACAGAGAGAGACAGAGAGACAGAAAGCGAGAAATCACCCCCCAGGGGGGATGGTCACACCACAATCCCTTCTCCTCCATTCTCCTCTCGGGATCTTGGGCACGCACGCACACGCGCCCAGCGTGAGTTTTAAGCCACTGGGTCCGGGACCGCGGTCGACTACGTGGGAGTCCAGCCATTACGCTAACTGCTGGTCCCAGTAATGTTTTTTACTTATTAAGTCAAAATTGCTGTTTCAGTAAGATTTTGTTCAATTTATCATTTTTTTTTTCAGGAGAAAATGATACCTTCCCATCAAAGACTACTGTTTGTCTTTCAA